AACATGGAAGTACAATAAAAAAAAATAGTCATGAAATTTCATACAAAAGTCATGCCGAAATCGCATATATGAGTCCAATATGAAATACATGTTGCATGATACAATATGTCGTCGACACTCGTACGAAGTCGTACAGTCATGGGATGCAGCCTACACCACTAACTAACAAATCTGAAAAGAAAACTAAAACAAACATCTACGTGATATGACGAGTCGCAATGAAGTCTCACCTCGAACATAAACCCAATAACTAAAAAACAAAATGAAAAGGTCGTACATAAACCAAAAAAGTAAAAAAGAAAAGCTCTCGATGACACTACCTGCATGCTGAAGTCCAGGAACTGGTCCTAAGTGCCTAAAACCTAACTATATGTACATCATCCTAAACAATGAACACAATGGTCAGAACATCGATAGACAAACAACATAAAGGCGACATGGAAGGGGAACGAAGTTGTCAAGACTGTTGACCTCCCTTCCCCTTACCACTGCCTCTCCGCCTCTCCCCACCCGCGTTGCGTGTCGATGAAACCCTCCCTCACCCCGCCGTGGTTGCAACAAATGGTCCTCATCTCCTCGTATCCTGACGCCTTGGAGGGGACGGGTCATCGACGTCGTCGCGTCGTTTACTCGAACCATGCCGTCTTGTCGGCTGAACCTCCTATCGTCGTCTACCGGAACCACGCTGTGGTGGAGGGGAAGGCTCGTCGTCGTCGTCGTAGCTGTCGTCCTCCCCGCTATCGCTCTCCTCCTCCTCACTGTTCTCGTCCTCCCTATACTCGCTGTCCTCCTGCAGGTCCTCCTCACGTGTCGGCTTTGTCTCGGGATCGTCCTTCACTATGGTGACAGGGTCAGCCCCCCTCCTCACCACAACAACCCTAATAATCACGTGAGTCACATGTGCGACTGTCTTCTCACGACAACAACCCTAATAATCACGTGAGTCACATGTGCGACTGTCTTCTCAGGACGTGAACGGCACGACATCCCGAACCCCTCAACTCCAGAAGACTCCCCCAATGCAGCACCCCCCGCCGTAGGCACAGGACGCGGACGAGCTGCTCCGCTCCTGCGCACAGTCTGGTCACGCACAGCACATGATGCTGCTGCCAAAGCGTGCTGCAAGGTAGAGTCGGCCTCTCCACGCCCACGAACATGTTGCGGCTGAGAAATTGCCGCCATGACCTCCCTCGCCACACCCCTCCCGATGTCTACCCCACCCAAACCGGGCTGGCGATGTAAAGTGTGCACTGTGTTCCGACGAGTGGCGTCCAAGTCGATATCCATCTTCTCGAATAGCGCCGTGTCAAGAGGGAGGCTCCCTACGCCCGTCGTGTCACGAACCCTGCATCTATCGGGCGTGGATGGTGAGCGGGGGGGTGGACGTACTGGTGTCAAGGACGAATCACAGTGACTTGATCTCGGAGGAGGAGGCGGCATGAATGGTCTGCGTGGGTCGGTGTCCTCCTGCCGTGTGATGTCAAGCACAGCAGCCCGCGCGAGCTCCGCAAAATCCAATGGGCCAGCTGTATCCTGAGGAGATCGCCGCCCACTAACCGGTGTCCCTGGGTCTGTCGGGCGTGGATGGTGAGCGGGGGGGGGGACGTACTGGTGACGTGATCTTGGAGGAGACGGCATGATTGGTCTCATGGGTCGGTGTCCTCCTGTCGTGTGACGTCAAGCACAGCAGCCCGCGCGAGCTCCGCCACGTCCAATGGGCCAGCTGTATCCTGAGGAGATCGCCGCCCACTAACCGGTGTCCCTGGGTCTGTCAGGCGTGGATGGTGAGCGGGGGGGTGGACGTACTGGTGACGTGATCTCGGAGGAGGAGGCGGCATGAATGGTCTGCGTGGGTCGGTGTCTTCCTGCCGTGTGACGTCAAGCACAGCAGCCCGCGCGAGCTCCGCCACATCCAATGGGCCAGCTGTATCCTGAGGAGATCGCCGCCCACTAATCGGTGTCTGAAGCAGTGGCTCAGATCCTAAATCCTCTACTATGACTGGTGGTACCTCAGCAAATGCCACCTCCTCAGGACCTGACCCCTGCACACACAGTCGAACCGCCCATGTCGTCGTCGTCAGCTGCAGGCCCGTAAATCGTACCAATGAACCGCTACCTCCGGGGATATCTGCATCGGGTGCATCCTCACGCTCCTCCAACTCCTCCGCCAACTCGTCGCGGTGGATCTCCAGAGCTTGCATGCTTGCGATCTCGCAGTGGGAGGGAAGCACGGGAAGAGGTCCTCCACCAGGATGTTGAAGAGCAAACCTGCTTGAGATCCCTCCACGGCATGTTGCGAAAGGCATTGAAGGAAACCCCGCTGGAAGAATACCTTGCTCCAACGACCGATCCACTCGCCATCATATGTGTCTGTTACCTTCTGCTGCCGCAGCCTCTTCCCCGCCTTGGTGGCAGAAAGATCCGCACCCCCGTCCTTCCTCTTGGAAGAACCCGGCATGCATGCTGTCTCTGGAACAGCAGTCTTCCCCCAGCGCCGCTCCCAGTCCACCGTCCTCTGACGAGTCACCGGATCGAACCCGGTCACGCCCCCCTCCCCCTCTACCACGCCAACCTCGAGCTCGACGTCTGCCTCGTCCTCCTCCGCGGCACCCTCACCCTCCCCATCTCTCGCAACACCTCCCTTCGCAGAATGTTGGGTATCCTCTCCCTCGCCCACGCCCTGTGCAGGACGCTCCGCCTCGCCACCCATCGCACCAGACCTCGGGACATCGAGACCATGCTCCTGTGCGTACCGCCGGACCCTGTCTACCTGGTCGGCCTCGAAGCGGTGTGTGCATTTCTGCGCAATCTGGAACAATGCTTCGTCGGACACCTTCTTATAATAGTGTGGCTGAGTGAAGTGTTTCGTTGTGTAGTACTGGGTTCCCTGCCACACTTTATTGCAGAAGGTGCACCGTAGCATGTTAACCCCCTTGTTGTCGACCTTCTGGTCGACGACAATGTAACGATACACAGTAGCCTCGCCTGAAATCCTGCTGCACATCTTCAGGAACGGGCTCATGATCGCGCGTTTGTTTTCGCGGCATTTCAACCCCCGGCCCGTCCGGTCCCCTCCCCTCGTGCAACCCACCCTGACAACCGTTGAGCAACCCCCCCCAGCGGCGCTACAGACAAAGGCCTATCCCCGGCCGGTCCCATCCCAAGCCCCGCCCCCTTCGCCAACCGCCCAGCCTCCATTCAACACCATCGAACACCCCAGGACACCATTGAACCCCGTTGATATCCCGTTGATCGGGCGATGATGCTCCGTTGATTAGCTGTTGAACGGACGTTGAACGCCCGTTGAACGACCGTTCAACGACGTTCTGCCTCGTTCGCCGTTCGTCGGCGGGTGCGTGTCTCAACTTGTGCCTTGGTCGACGGGATCCACCGGCGCCGCTGCGCGATCAGCAATAGCACCTGCATCAACACAAAAAAAAATCAATGAGTGCAACGAAAAAAAAAAGAAAAATAGACTCTCTCTCTCTTTCTCCCAGCTCAACCAACCAACCAATCAATCAATCAATCAAACAACCAACCAATCAATCAATCAATCAATCAATCAATCAATCAATCAATCCATCAACCAATCCATCAATCAATCAATCAATCAATCATTCAATCAAGATTGATAGATTCACTGATTGGTTGATTGATTGATTGATTGATTGATTGATTGATTGATTGATTGATTGTAAGT